CACATGGCACTTTAGCCAATCAGAGTCACATTGAACATTACTGCTTTGGTTCTTCTTCTTCCTTTTCTTGATTACAAACAACTTAATGGTTAAGCTACAGTTCACCAGCTAATGGAAATGTTTAACTTCATTAAACAAAAGCCCTTTTTAAAATTATTTGTTGTATTATTATCCTTTTATATTCACTAAATTGTATTGGTGGTTATATTCTAATAATTTGTTAATATATTCAAAAGTAATATAATATTATTTTATGATAATATAATTTTGTAATAATATTTTATTTTAATCAAATAAAATAAAAAAGCTAATTGTGTTTACATCTTTGTCAGTAATTTAAGGATTCTGGGTTTGATTCCTGGTTAGACTTGGCTGTAATGCCTTGCTGAGATAACCCTTGGAGCAGACAAAAGGAAAAAATAAATCCCCAGATAATCATAGTTTAATAAAAAAAAAAAAGAATTAAATTATTATTCAAGTCATCTACTACAATCAGTGGATTACATCTACACTAAGTTTACGGTCCTTTGCGGATCTAAAGCAAAGGCCTCTGCCCTTTAACTCTGCACTAAGATTAGATGTACCACCTTGAAAATATATTATATCGACCTATCTGCGAGCAGTGGGAATGTTAAGAAAATAAAACTGATCACTTCAATCTGAATTGTGCATCTCTATAATGGACAAAAATAGGCAAGTTGGATGTTGAAACATTAACATTGTTTGCAAGACATTTAGAAATCTATAACAGGTCAATAACTGACCCCATATAGACATATAGACATACATAATCTGCACATCCGTCAGAAGTCTTATCTTGAATGGGTTAAGACCTAAATTATGTATTACAATATATTGTATTTTCATATAATGATGTTAAAATCTAAAGGAAAGCAATTAGTTAATGCCTCTGGGAGAAAAAAAATGCTCAGTAAAAGCTATCATTCCATTTAATAAACTGTAAATGTTTGACAGTGTAATAGTTGTTTAAAGGGCAATAGGCAAAAAAAAAAAAAAAAAGGGCACCTGTGGCAGCAACACCTTACTTTTGCATGGTCATAATTTTAGAGGGATAAATTATCATGTTAAGTGATCATTAAGCAGTCCAGTGAAAGTTCAGCTGTCAAACATTAGGAGCAACATTTATGGTTATTTAGCATGTTTTAAGAAAAAAATAATTTTGTCCCCCACCCTCCCCCAAGTTATTTTTTTCAAATCTTACTTTGTTATATAAATATTCAGTTTGGAGCGAAATATTTAGTTTGCATATTAAATATTTAGTTTGTTCATTAAATATTTAGCTTTGAACTAAATATATAGTTTGCAAATTAAACTTTTACTTTTTTAAATAAATATTTAGCTACAAACTAAGTATTTAGTTTGTTAAATGAATATTTAGCTCAGATTAAACACTCATTTAACAAACTAAATACATAGTGAATAAATATTAGCCAATAAATATTGCTCCTAATTTTTGACTTCTGAACCTTACAAATGGCACTCTATAGAACAGGTCCTAAATTATCATAAAATTGCAACCAATTTAACAGAAATCCTTTCTAACTTGAATATTTCATTCAATATTACATTACATTGGAATGGTCAATGCATCTTTAGCCAAAAGGTGGCAGTATAGATTAAGAAAAACAAAAAAGGAAAAGCAGACACCCCGTTTTTATTATTGTTTACCAACGAGCTTGACAGAGGATTAAAAAAATACGTTTTTGGGACGTAATCTCTTTATTGATGATGAAATTATAAACTAAAAAATGGCTCTTGTATCGGGTAGAAAGTAATTTATTCAATTTAACCGCTGACCTTACAGCCTCTGCGTCACCATGGTAACCCAACGCTAAAACTCTAGAAGTGAAGGTTCTACACCAAATCGAGGCAGATATATCCGCTAAACCCGATTAAAAACAGGCTGGGGAAGAGAATGATGGAGAACTCTGAAGACTTTGAGAGATTTCTGAACAATGTTGACAGGATTGGTGAGTAATGCAGCCTCTGACTAACTTGTATTGAAACTCCTGCAATTGATTTCCTTGTGGCAGCAACAAAACATAACGATAGGCCTATATGAAAATTTATTTGCTAGAGTTGTGTCACTATTTTAAATTTAATGATATGCATCATGTATTTTTCGATATAGACAGATTGAAATCTTCTTTTAAGGTTTAACGTGTTTTTTTCTGACATTTTTGTGTGTGTATGTGCTGATTTATTTATTTAATTGCGTTAATTTCAGAACTGTGTCAGTTACTAACACATAAAACAACAGATGTTACGTCAGAGATGGAATTCGCAGGCGTCTTAATAAAAATTATCAAATAGAAAGGGTTGCCAGATCTGACTAACAGGTTCCAGCAAAAAAAAAAAAATCATGTGGGAACATCAATAAAAAACAGTCCAAATCACTTAATCCCTTGAAGTTAATTGTATAAAATGTAAGACTTCATGCATATTAAACAAAGCATCATAAGACAAAACTGTACTAAAACAACCCCCCCCCCCCCAAAAAAAAAAAAAAAAAGTTATGGAGATCCTCAACACAAAGTATGCAACCAGGCAACCAATTAACCAACACAGAGATCTCTTTCCAATCATGCTGTCATAGCAACCAAAAAGTTTAACCTGTTAATTGGTAACCCCCCCACCCCCCACCCCACCCCCCACAACAAAGCACAAACTAACACACACACATTTAAAGTGTACCAGCTAAAATTAATCAACAACTGTTACAGTAAGTCATTAACAAACATTGCATAGATCTTACCTTGATATCATTTAACAATAATTGAACTTTATTGATCTCACCTTACCTTTGCATTTAACCCATCTCTATGGGGAGCACTGGACTGTCACTGTGTGGCACCCGGGGAGCAGTTTGGGGTTAAGGGTTTTGCTCAGGAACCCAGAATGGAGGCTTTGGGGACTGAACAGTGTACTTGCAACCTTCCAGGGCACAAGCGCACTGCTCTAACCATTGGTCCAACACTCCCCATTGTATCCTAGCTTTTGCATTATTATGTTTTTTCAGGTTATCACTAACAACAAACAATACGGAGTTTGGCTGGAACGTTTAACCCCATTTAACTGATTACATTGACCTATACCCTTTCAAAGGAACACTAGATTAACCCAAAACCATCACTGTTTAATATTTGTCAACAAAAAAAAAATCTACATTCCAAACTAATTGAATTACTAACATGGGTGTAAGGACATTTTTTTTTTTTTTTCTACATTTTAAGGAAAAGAAATTTCCTATGAGCACTTTAAAAAAATTCTACAAATGTTTAAAAAAAATACCTAGAATTTCGGAATCCTGCCTAAAGCATTTTTTCGTGCCAAATATATTGACTATATATATTATCAGACCTGTCAAAGGCATTGTTGATTAACGCTGTCTCCTTTTCTAATTTCTTCTTAGCTACCATGAGCTACGTGTCAGTGGGTGTGTACTATGAAGGACCAACTCTGCCATATTTAAAAATAAATACAGAAATAAATAAATGCTCAATAAATGTATAAGCATACAATTAATTGCCAACAAAAAAGTGAGACATAAATGTATATAACTCTTAATTAGCTTCTTTATTTATTTGCCTTTGTAATATTTACCTTATTTATTTTTCTGTCCTTTATAATCTTCAACTTTATTTTTTAATTACTTATATTTTTAAGTATTTATTTATGTGCATGTTATAATATTTTTGTCTGTTTTATTCTTTCTTTGTATTTTTTTACCTTAGTTATTTCTTCGCCGCTGTTTATTTCTCTCTGCCCTTTTTACATTTCTCTCTGCCCTTTTTACATTTCTCTATGCATTTCTGTCTCATTATGCAAATGAGGAGGGGGTGTGTCCTAGAGAGTCAACTTCTGCTCATTGGTTGGCTTGGCGGTCCATCTTCTTAACTCACAGAGCTCAGAGTACTAAGTTAAATGTTCTCTTTTCTGTTGCTGTTGTTCAATAAAAGTACGTTTTAAGATCATTTGAGGCGAGAACCTTATACTTTTAAGCATCACCATATGGCCCATTCACAGATTTAATGCGTAATTTAAAAGAAAATGTGACGAACTTGAGAGGACCGTGGCAACCAGCAAAGCTCCGAAGCTATTTAACTGCAGTGACAGGTAGCGGAGGTATCCTTCCTTTCTCTATTCCTTCAGCAACAATGTTGTTCTGTTTAGGTCATGAATGCGATGCAGGACATGATCACTTGCATGAACAGATTAGAAAAAAGATGAGAAAATTCAATTGCCATAGGGAACATTTAACCCCTAAGGGAAGCACAACCAGAGTTCTGAGGTGGATGTGATCTAAAAAAAAAAGTCTTATGTCAACATAAAAATAAATCAGAAGCAATGATGTTAAAATAGCACTACATAGACACAGATTACAGTGTTCATCTACAAAAAAGCTGATTTTGGGGTGAGTAACTCTTTAAGGAGTTGATAGTGCTTAAGTCTTGAGGTATACTGCTTAGGAATTCTGAATGTGACCAGGTGTCTTCCTGCATTGCATTTACATGTCATCCTGGATACTATGTCCTTTTCCCATTGTATAAAAATAGCATTTTCTGTCAAGCATCATTTGTAATCTTCCAAGCTCTATGCCTTGTACTCTATGTATGTACTCTTTCTTTCGTGATAGCTATAGATAGGAACCAAAAAATCCTACAGAAAACAGAAAAATAAAAAAAGGAGACAAAAGGGAAAAGGTAGGAAATTAGAATAAAACCAAAAGTTTCACTCAGTATAGTAACTGTGCCTGAAAACCACATATCCTGTCACTAAAATATGATGCTGTTCTTTGACCCTTAATGCTTTGCAGGAATATTCTTGTTGGAAGTTAACTTAACAACTACTTTTTAATATGAACTACCTGAAAGACACGTTTTGTCTCTGACCAAACAGCCCTTCAAACAGCAATAACTGTCCTTCTTTTGCAAGGTCAGATTCTTTGTTTTTGTCAGTTGTTCAGTTTCACTTGCCTTATGCCTTATGCTATCCAGGCCTACATCAAGCTAAAACGATATAAGGAGGCAATTTGTGACTGTGAATGGGCCTTGAAGGTAAAAAGAAGTAAAATCAAAAGCTGCAAACCTATTCGATTTTCAAAAATATGATGCAAATAGAATTATGAAAAGTTATGGACAAGTGCCACTTTCTTTGCCTCTTTGTCATATTACTTAAGTCATCTTATTTCTGTATGCATTTAAATATACAATACATTCAAAACGTTTAATACACTATTCAATATATTACTTTTAAATGGTAGTGTCATAGGTGTTCAAACAGATATAGATATTTCTTTCATAACTAGTCAATCTTCTCGCTTCAGTGTAATGAAAGATGCATAAAGGCGTATGTGCATATGGGAAAAGCATACCTGGGTTTGAAGAAATATAATAAGGTGGGTATAATTATCTTTTATTACATTCAATCCAATCCCATCATTTTCATAGTTGCTCTATGTCATTCAGCTATACCAAAGACAAGGCAAAGCTGCAGTAGTTGTAGGCTGAATAAAAGAAAATAGAAAAAAAAAGTGTAATTACAAATTCCAAGAATGTATACAGTAGTATTCTATCTGACTGTAATTTAGTCAATATCTTGTCTTAGATCTACTGTCATAATCATTTTGGTCCTTTTTTTAGCGCACAAGTTTAAATCTGATTTTGACATAAGGGTGAAAAATGTAAAAAAACTAATTACAGGATAATTTGTGATGATTTGATGTACTTACTCTTTATCAATCTTGTTGGCATGCCTTTGCATTTTGAAGATAAGTTCTGTTTGGTTTAGACGACACTAGCAGAACAGATACTATATTTAATTATGAGATTTAAATTTTTCACAGGCTAAAAGCTGCTTTGAAAAGATACAGGAAATTGAACCAGGGAGGGGAAAGATGGTTAAAGGTAATTACATTTTTTCGATGAGTTATTTAAGGAAATGTTGCATAAACTAAATGCTCAAATAGTAGTGAAGGAGTTTAGTTTCTTTAAAGATCTCTCAATAATATTATGCAATGTTTAGTCAGTCATCTATGGTAATAAGGTTTCATGACCAAATCTCCTAATTATAGTGAGTAGTATTAATTGATATTAAGTTAGTTAACCCAGGGAAGGTTAAACTTCACAATAACTTCATTTCAGTTCAGTCAGTTTAGTAATATTGCAATAGTTCAGAAAACATGTCATCTCAATAATTTCACAAAGACTATTCAGTCAGATCAGCCAGATTGGTAAAAAGTTAAAAAAGGAAAATCAGCTGATTGCATCGAGTCATTGACTTTACACAATATGCTCCTTCTTGCCAAGGAAGATAGAAACAGTAGATATTTGCTTGCATTGTCATTAACTCTACAGCTGTCACTCACACCAAGCATGTATACAGCAACAGTGGAGAGGAAAAACTCACTGTTAACAGAAAGAAACTAGAGAACGACTGATACAGTTTTCATAAAAGGCCAAAGCCAATACCAATTATTTTTCATCAATCTAACTACACAAAATGTGCTGCCAATTTTTAAGGCCGATTTTTAATGACAAAATATCTTTTTCTTTCTTTGTTTTCATGATAAGAGGACATGTTTATAGCAAATGTTACACTAGTCAGTGCAAATAAAAAACATTATTTACAACATTTATTAAAAAAATCAAAACAATAACAATGGATAGCTGATGGAGGGAGCAGTAATGCATGTCCTTCATGTGACTTCAAGTCACGGCTGCTGAATGCACTAATGAATTGGCAAACACATGCAAACACAATGTCTGATACAAGGAAAGTAAGTAAAGTAAGTTAAGTATCTGCTCTTACAATTAGGCTCTTATGTGCTTTTCTTGTTGTCATCATTATATTTTTCCAGATAAATTTACCTTTAGTTGGAATCAAAATGGGCAAGAAAGTGTAGACACCAGGCTGGTTTTAAAGTTTAGAAAAATCCTGTCTTAAAATCTGTGTTTTTTTTTTTTTTTCGGTTAACTTAATGCAGGCCAGTTAATTATAAGTCAGCCTGTACACCTAAATTCGGCCAATCATATATCAACGGTCATATGTCAATCAATTTTTTTTGATCATAGTATCTTGATTCATGTCACAGCTAATATATGCAATTGCTGAAATAAGGAATAATTTTTAATTGAATAACTTATTTTACCATTTGGTGTAGACCAAATGAAGCTACTGCCTCCCTGGCGTCCTCTTCCACAACATCTTCGTCCCGGCTTTCCTCCTCTAAGTAAATGAATGACGGAGGAGACTCATCCACGACATATGAGCCACAATCAAACTTGCTTGCGAACCTTCCACAATAACAACCCCGCCCTCTTGATAAAAACTCCAATCACATTCCCTTTATTCACTCATGTAAAGTCATGCACCACTGGGGAGAATTCGGAAATGCAACCGTTAGAACAGCCATTTCCCTACCTCTTTAAAATGTTCCTATTATTATAAACGTAATATGAACATGTGTGTACAATTACAGTAATAAGATTAAGGTCAATGCTGATAAATAATTTTCTCTCTAATCTGTCTTCTCTTCTGTTATTTTCCTTTCTCCTACTCTCCCTTTAAGAATACATGGAGTTGGTAGATTTAGAAGAGAAAAAGGATTGCCAGGAGAGGAAAGCAATGGAAGAACTTGTCAAAGGAGAGGGAAAGTTCACAGCGGTGCCCCAACTGCTGGAGAGGCTGTCTAGGGTTGGCCGGACTCCCCTCTATTACTGTGCAGGATTGGAGAGCCTGTCACGGGCAGTTACTGACTGTGAGTGTTTCTTCAGAAAAGCTTTGCACAAGTCTATTTTCTATTTAGTTTTGTGAAGCCATACCTTCCTCTCATTAACCATCTGAAAAGGTTAAATCTATCTGCTGTTCTGCTAAAATGATAGCACTAAGCGAGGTATACTATGCTATTATCTGGTAAAACAGATGTAAAGAAAAAATGACACAAGCATTTAAATGCTTGCTTTAAGTTAGACTATTTGTGTTTCAGTTTCTCATTAGGATGAAAATCTCATGATGACCATTAACAGAATAGTGACTTAATAAGTACACATGCTTTTTCAGTTATTAGTTAAAAACATTATACAATACTAGAAAGAAGAAATGTATCTCACCTTACATTAAAAGTATACAATATTTAGTCAGTATGTAGTGAGTGTTCACTACTCTAAACCATTCAATAGAAATCAAGTCCAACCATTTTAACTCAGAAGGGATCTAGTTAGTTAATACAGCTCAATTGAAATAAATACAAAATAAAATCATATTATAAACCTGTATTTCAAAAACTTCAGCTCCTCTTCAATTCCCTTATAATCACATTTAAACTTGATGAATTGGGAACAAAATGCAGAAAAAAATATATAGTCTGACTTAGTTAGTTTCACTTTGTTTTCATCAAGACAAAAATTCAAACATACAAGAAAAATGTACTTTTTGGTTCGATTCGGTCCTCAAAGAGCAAAACAAATTCTAGCTGTATTGGATTTTTACTACCTAATAAATAAAATATTTCATGTACCCCTTGCAATGCACTGGTGGACCACTTGGGGTACGAGTACCCCAGTTAGGAGGAGAAGTTCGTGCTGTGAACAGGTGAAGAGATCTGTGAATTACAAAAACCCGCAAAATGAGTCAGCTGACTGTAATTAGGAGAAGACGTGGTCTGCCAAAGCTGAACCGCTGCCGAGCCCTACTGTTGAACTAGTACTAGATTTACCGCAGTTCGGTTGTGTCTGGCATGGTCCAGTTCAGCTGCATTTCATTTTCACTCAACAGTTAGCTTGGTTATCATGCTTGGACCGTTTTCTGCAAGGTTTCAAAACGGCTTAAGTCTGAATGTTTTCTGGATTCAGCACAGCTGTCTGGAGCTCCTTTCATACCCTAGACAATGTTCTTACTGTTGATTCTGCGAAAGGTCAATGGATAAGAGCTATGAATAGGAGGTAGGAGCTACAATTCGAGGTATTCAGGTCGAGCTAAAACAGTTCTTTTATGACCCAGGAGAGCTATCAGCGAACATATGCAAAAAAACTATTGATCGTGCAAAAAAGACAGCAGACAGTACAGGAATAAATGCATATAGATATAAAGAGTGCTTTTCTTTATATTTCTGTATTAGAAAGTTTTTACTAGTCTGTTGTAATAATCTTAAATCCAAATAATAACGTAAAATGAGCAAAAGTGGACCAATCATATCTAATTAAAAGATGATAGCTTTAATTTCATTAGTGTGGAAACCAAATTATGACTTTATTCATCTCAAATTGGGGAAATTTATGCAACAGTGAAAGTGACATGGGAATCGTAATGAACAACAGCACAAAAAAATCCACAAAAAAAAACGAAGATACATCAATGTCATAACCCTCTTACCCTTTTTTTCTAAATATTTTGTCCTAAATAGAACCAACTACTTATTATATTGATTCTAATTTCTAACAATGACCAATTATATATTTCACACTCAGTATAATTTTAAAGGATAGGATCTTAAAGGATCTCAACCGGGCTTGCAGCTTTCTGCTATTGAAGTGGTCCTTTGTGGTATTGCTCTTCTTTCTGTAGTATATACACCATTAGTAAGAGAAAAGTGGGATCCATTAACACTTTACTGCAGGCAATTTATAAAGCATTTTCTTTGCACACTTGATTCTACACCAGTGAGCAAGGTAAAGCAAAGCAAGGACACAAGGGTTGTGTTCTTGTAAAGCCTCTCTTCCTCTGGCTAATGAATGGTTTTCTGTCTTCGTCCACTATCTGCTCTTCTCCTCTAACAGGTACAGGACAGACTCTCTTCAGACTGAACAATAGCTTTAGTATCATTGGCAGCAATGGCGTGCTGACAAGGTAAGGAGACCACTGGGAGAGGTAACTCTGGGTTCTCATTGGAGCTTTGACAGATGGACAGAGAAATGGGGACATACAGAGACAATGATGGTCTAAACTAGAAAGATCATTCACCTTCCCCTCTGTCTCTTTCCAGCTGTTTGTGTAATAGCCCAAAAAATAAAAGATGATCACTAGAGATGGAGCTGAGTGCTTCACTCCATAAAAGCCTTATGTTTTTGTCCTAGAAAGTGGGAGGGTTTTGTACAAGATAAGAATTATAAGTCCCTCATGACAGATCACCAAGGATATTATTAACTTGTCACTGCTCTCCTTGTTGTCATTATTAGCGCCATCATGAATCGAGATTGAACACAGTGTCTGGGAAGTATGAATCTGTAGAAAGTGCAATTTGTCAGGAATAATGCTAGTGTGAGGTAGAAATAGACACTAGCCACAACTAATAGAAACAACATACAAGAAAAGGTCTTCTCTATATTTTCCAGCTAAAGCATAATCTTCCATTACATAATGTTAAAAAGGCTTACAGTGGTTACATATTCTGTAATAATTAGTAGAGTTTAGAGTTTATTCATTAAAATTACTATTTATAATTTTCTATATACATTTTGTTAACCTTAAATAAATATTTGAAATGTATATTACACTTTGGGCCGCAAATGTAACTTTATTTATTTATATGTAATCACTATAGTTGTATGTTAATCACAGCTTAGAGTTTATTTTCTCTACAGAGGCTTGTTGCAGAAAACAGATGATCTTCTCAGCAAAGAGCTGTGCCTTTCTGTATTAAACATTTGGAGGATTGTTTGCTTTAAAAATGGTAGGTACACAAAGCTTTCACTGTGTGTTAGTTTATTCTGAATAAAAGGCAAATAAGGTTCAAATACTGTTCTGTAGTTTTCTCAGCTATTCAGTCATTAGTTTATGTTTTTATATCACTTGAGCATTGAGGTGTTTCCTCTTTTATAATTTGTTTGTTTATCTAATCATGTTCTGCAAATGGCAACAAATAACTGAAGGCTATGTAAACAGAAATATATTTTTTCCAGAGCTACTTCCTGTAACGCTGAAAGGATTTGGCTCTTTCTTTCTGACCATTTCTACTCTTAGTTCCAAAACTGGGCTGTTTATATATGTAGATTACATCTGCCAACACCAAGGGCGAGATTTCTACTGCAATCTAAGGAGACAGATCTCCACCTGATGGAATAGCAGAGTTCAAAAACTCTTTGAAGGTTTCTGTAAAAGTCACGAGTCCAATTTTAAGACCCATCCTAGACGTCTGTGATCTATAATAAAATCTAAGTGGAATAACTGCATTTAACTCTGTGAGTAACGTAGCTATCAGGCGGATGTTATTCATTGATTTTATTTATGATTAACCTAAGGCTATCTCTTTGACTGTAGTCTAGCAAAATGCTGTTTATTATTTTTTAGTGCAAGGTTGCTTTGTTTCTAAGAAGAGAGATTATGCTTATGTTTCACATATGTCTGCAAGTAATTACCTTTTTTCACAAAAGATCAGAAAATGTTTTTCGTAGTAAATTTGTTTGGTGCCAATATTTGGTCATTGCTTTTCAAAAAAAAAAATTGTATTATACTTGTGTTTCATCCTCAACTAAAGATGACTAAGTTAGCAACTGCAGAATGAGCAATAATGTTAATTTTGAAAACTGGACCAACTACTTTTTCCTCTTGAACAGCTTAAAATTGGTGAATACCAACACATTCAACTTGGTTTAGAGATGTGTTTTGCTTTCCAGTGGACAATAAACACCCCCTCACCCCCAACCCCAAAACAACAATAAATCCCTCAATTCCCTTAGAAGGGCGTTAATCTCATCTCATTACTTTGCTTGATTGTATCTTGTTTCTAAAGGCTTTCATTGTATTGAACTGAACAGTCTCTGGGATATTTTGCAGTTTTATTTCTCAGAATGAGGTGAACAATAATTTTAGGCTGTCCTGAGTTTATATTTTTTAGGTTGAATATTCACTAACATGACTTAAGCATAGATAATCGTATTATTCAACAAAACCAAAAGGCTTAGGGTGTGTTGGATAACTTTTTAGTGATAAATTAGGATAGTGATAGTGATTCATTAGGAATGATTATAATTGATATCAGAACAACCCCTTACAGAGAGGCACTGCTATGTATTTAAGACAATTATAATATAAGTATAATTTTCTTCTATACAAGCTTTTCTATAACTAAATGATATCATTGCCTTAGTACATCAGACATTGTAGTATTTTGTGTTTCAGTGTTGAGAAAGCACCAGCATTAACACTGTATACAGTAACAAACTATGCTGTACACATATAAAAGCAAACTTTATATGCAGTGCATGATTTATCTCCATGCGGGTTGCAGGCTTGTAACGTGATTAATTATGTTTCATTGTGAGTTCAAACTCCGGGCTGTTAATTTGTCTTTAGCAAGACTGTTTCAGCAATCTAAAGACATATCTCCAGCTTCTGCAGCAGTAGAGGTCAGAATGTGATTAGAAACAGTGAAATTAGACCAACACAGTAATAATCTTAGACTCTTTGGCAATTATGGCCTAATCTTAAGTATTGTCTCTTCAACCTTTGTGGGAACGTGCTACTAGAAGGGACTTTTAATGAAACGTCCAATTACTTACTCTACTACTAGGTCTGCACAAGAGCAACTACCCCCACCCAAAAAGCTACTATAAAATGTATGATGAATGATTCTGTCACAGCTATTACACTGTATAACATATTACAATTTCTGCTCTTGTGTTTACTTGCCTTTGGATTGAGAGGATAAGAGATTCCTCTGTTAGGAGTACAACCTGCTCAAATGCACCCATAATGTTGCAGCTGCATTTAAAGATGAATTACAGTCATTTCTAAATCAGTAGATTTGTCAGGTTTTTTTTTTTTTTTTTAAGTCACAGATCTTTAAAAATACCTGTGGTGTGTCTGCTTAACTCTACAATTAAATAATGCATATTACTTGAGGTTGTGTTTGTTTGAAATTTTATCTCAGAACTTAAACACTTAAAAGTTAAATTATACTATTTTAATACATTTATATTCATCTCTTTGATTTGAAATTGTCATTTAAATCTTAAATCCCTATGAAATAGCTTGGATCAAGGTTTAACTCATATGGCCTGCAAAGACCCAGGAAGTGGCAATCAGCAAGTCTTTATATATAATTTTCTAATGTTTCCACATTGGTATGGAAAATTTCTCCCAATTTACTTGAACGTCCCCTCTGTGATATTTAACATAATGGAACTTATTTCAAATATTTTTTGTGAGCAAATTATGCATTGCTCATTTCATGTATTTTAAAGTTGGTGGACAATGAACTAAAAAGTTTAAACTTGGAGGTACCGGAAACAAGACAATGGGGGTAGGTTGATGTGGTGGAAAACAAACCTGATGCATGATTAGCTAAATGTTGTGTTTATGCAATCAAATGCAACAAGTGTATCTGTTTAGTCTAACTCATTTCCAGGGCCGTGCAGAGACCACTAAAGGGGCAGGTGCTCAAAAAAAAAAAAAAAAAAGGGCACATCTTATCGCATTTTAGGACAGAATATTAACAAAGTCACATAGCTTTCAGAGTTTAATGAACAATGATAAATTACAAAATTGTGAGACATACAATCAAAGCTAAGGGAAACACAAGAACAACAGCCTAATGTCTGTATGATAAAAATACTGAATCGATAGATAAGAACAGCTGTTCCTCATCTGGCTCTCTCCTCCCGCTCAGTAGTTCTTCAGAGAAAGGCGCGCCGCGTCCTATACTTTCCTCCGTTTAAACCGCTACTCTTTACTAAAGTAGAGAAATTATACAACGTTCAAAGTTTTCCGTTGTCTGACAAGTAGCAAGCCTACTCCAGTATTTTCACCAAAAATTATGTTTTTTAATTCACAAAAAAAACTGTTCTGTAATCATTACAGAACAGTTTTTTGTGAATTAAAAAACATAATTTTCAATGTAAAATACTAAAAGCACAGAGTAAACAGTGTTTTAGATCAAACAATACTGCATCATCCATGGGGCTCATTTGGTTTCACTTACATCTCTATTCAGGTTGACATTGGAGAGGCGGTGCAGACTGACGACATAGCCATCCATCCGATCATGGTTGATCATGCTTAGGGCCAAATGAGCAGCGGCCACAGTGTAATGTGGAATGTTCGCTACCTTTAGCTCCGCAGTTAGCCGCCTTATCTGACTGTGCGAGAGGCAAGTGCGTCGTCACCGGCAAAAGGTCAAAGGTAACAATGTGACCGGAGGGCTTATTGTATTGTTTTTGTAGCACTGGTATCACACCACTAACTGCGCCACTGGACCAGTTCTAGGCTCTAAGGAGTGGGGAGCAAAATAATAGCACCAGAGACCGCTGCTTAAGTGAAAATGGCCGGCAATTTAATGAATGCAAAACACACATAAAATACAATACATGAAACCAAAAATACTCTGCAGATTCTTAATAATGAGGTAAGTATAAATGGGGAGGAAAAGGGAGAAGGAAAAAAAAGAATATATCACTCTTTCTTTTTGCTCTTTAGTTCACCTAGGATATTTTAATTAGACTAATTTGGATTAATTAGACCAGTATCTTTTTCATAGGTTGCACCTATTTTAAGATTTAAATTTTTCCTGAGTTAACTCTTTTCCTTTCTTTTACAGGTTGCAAAATACCTTCAACACAGTTAAATCAAGTGGACCACAATTACTCAAATCACATTCAGAAATTAAACATATGAAAATCAAAGTATGGCACTTTAAATTCAAGTTCAAGTCCAAATGTAAATATAGGCACTCAGTTCGATGAAAAGAATCAGTTTGATTCAGTCCAAAAAATAATAATAATAATTCAATCAGTCTCCAGTTCTTTTTTAGTTCAGTTCAAACTAGTTTCTGATATCCCAACCGCTCTGGCAGGGGAGTACCACACGCGGGAAAGTCCCTCCCTCAATGGACAAGATGAATTGAAGTTCTAGGTCTGGCTCGCCATCTTGAATCCCGTCTGTGAATGTGCACGCCGCACATGGCAGTGAGAGGGTGTGTGCGGGAGTTGCGGTCTCCGTCGGCTCGGTAACCGCACCGGAGCCAGTGTGAGCAAGGGGTAATCCTCGCTCCGACCAAACTTCCAATCCAAACAAAAAACCTGACCTGTGTAACAGGCCAAAAACACAATAAAACTCTTTTTAAATACTCAAATTATGCAAATAAATTCTTCTTCATAAACTTCATATATTAACTGAATAACAGTTAATAACTCTCCACCAACAGAAAAATTACAACACAATGAAAATACAGAAAAATAAACACAAAACTCACCAAAACCGATATGGCTTAGTTCTCATAAAATCCTCGTCAGTTCCCGACCAGGTAAATTATGTTTTGTTTACTAAAATATTAACTTTTTTCTGTTAATTAATCACCGCTCTTTTTTTTCTCCGATTCCTCCTCCGCTCTCTCCTTCGGGTCTGCGTACTGCAGCGTCACCCAGACACTGCACCTGTAACGCTGGTTTCTTAAAGGGACAGCGACGTTATTTTCTGTCTACAGACTTTTAACCAACTACTTATCCCTATTTATGTTAGATCCCTATTTATGTTAGATTTTAACATGGGTTACATTTTTCTTGCCAAAAAAAGATAATAATAATAATTTCAGTACATGTGTTAAATAAAAAAAATTAAGATAAAAAAAAAAAAAAAAAAAAAAGGACCAAAAGGGCACATTGGGATCATGGAGCAAAAGGGGCAGGTGCTCAAGCCCCCTTAGCCCCCCCCTCTGCACGTGCCTGCTCATTTCTTATCCATGTTTGTTTTTTTCCCCTAATGTTAGATGAAAATCAGAAGATCCTGATGAAATGTCCAGTTGCCAGACGGGCTCTTGTGCAGCTGTTAACATCGGACCATGTTGAAGTTGTGAAAGAATGTCTGAAATTATTGCGACTATACTCAGAGACATCACATGGCAGACGTTTGGTTATTGACAACCTCAATCTGCACCTGTATGCATACTATTTATGTTGTCCATAGACACATCTTACTATTAGTAACAACAGCATTCTTTTTACACAGAAAGTACTAATGCATGATAAAAAAAGGACATCACTCGCAGTTTATTTGACTTATTTAACAGACTCTGTTTTCTTTAAAACAAACAACAGTACCTGGCCATTTACTGTCTTTCATTGTTTGCTCTGCAATTTAATTTGATTTTCAAAGAAGAATGAAAATTAGTTGAACTTTGATATTAGATTCAGGATCCAATTGTAATTACCTACGTATTCCCTTTACAATTATAATGTAAAACCACTCTTATTTGGTATGATTCCCTTTTTTCCTGATCTTTTTAAAGGTTGGCTGAAAACCTCATGTGGTGCATCTCGGAATCAAAGGAGCAGCAAGAGATCACAGCAGTCTGTATTCTAGAAACCTTTGCTGCAGAAAATAGGTAATAAAGATGCACATCTAATCAGTGCTCTTTAGGCTAATACATATGAATTGTCTCAAAGACGTGTGGCTGTACATATGACCAAATATTATATAGAAGAGAAGAGAAAACCAGTTCCCTGCACAAATTATATCCATATGCCGCATGATGAAAGTGCTTCGCTGGAGTAAAAAGTCCTGATATAAAGACAGTATATGGCATTCTTAATAAATCAACAGGCGCCATCCGGGTGTTAATATCACATAAAGACAAAGGCTATTCTGCACTTGTTTTTCTCTCTGGCATCTCCTGGAAGCAGACATGAAAGGACATTTCAGGCTCTCAAATGCTGCAGGAAATAAGTCAAGGTGTCAAGCCGTGAAATGGGTGGATCAATTTTCCTTGTCTGTAGCTCAAAGAGAGTTTGAAATAAACGTGGTGTATCCAAAAGAAATTTCCTCTCCATTGTAGAATCTGAGTTGAGTAAGTGTTGGTATTTTTTTTTGTTGTTGATGTTTCTGTTGCAATGAATACAAAAGTGGTGCTGAGGGGTTTAAAAAAAACAACAAAAAAACCCTTTAAATTGAATAGTGTAAATCTTTGTACCTTAGTTTCCCGATGGACAAAGAGTTTAACGAAAGCAGTTGTATATACTTCCCAAACCAATAGAAAAATGTATTGTTATGGTTATGGTCGGACCTTTACAATCATGGAGAGGACTGCCCAATTCACAGTTGACAATAGTAAAGAATGTATTTCCCTTAAATGTTGTTTATTTCTTACAGGTTTCGGTTAAAGCTAAGAAATTTGTCAAACAACTCCTTTTTTGTGGCATTTAAGATTATTTTGGTAGGTTTTGCTCAACAAACTCACATCCTATTTTATATTATGGTTATTTGTATATCTGACCATAAAAATAAATGGGTTTCTCTCATTCTTTTCCAGGGAGATATCAGCAGATTTAATCAAAATGTCCTTACATTGCTCATATCCGCTGTTGGCTCTCTGGCTGCAGATGAAGTCATTCGTCAAAAGCTTGCTCAGGAGGAAGAATGCTGGGAAGCTTTTCTCACTGCCACCGTAAGTGCACAGCTGTCGACGTGCCATTTTATTTAGAGAAGTGTAAATTGCTGTTAATTAGTTTAAGATATGTATATATATAAAAAAAATCTAACACTCCTGCTAAGTGTTACTGTCTTGTTTGAAAAGGTCCTATAGATTATTGTTTGCTTTTCTGCAGAAGCAGTGTGTGACATCTGAGAACAAAAGCATCCTGTATCATTTGCTTGGCTTGATTATCAACCTTTCATCAATTACTTCTTCAGCCATGCAGGTAAGACAGGTAACTATGACATAAATGTAACTTAGGTAGGAGTCTAGAGGGTTTAGTTTTAAAGCAAGTGTTAAGGTTTAGCAAACCATATACCTCACAAAAAATGTTTTTTTTTCAATCACTTCTGAGAATTGAGCTTTGAGCTTACTGGATGGGAAGCGAAATGTTTTCAAACTTAGAAACCAAGTCCAGTGGATTTTTGTTTTTTTTTTTACATTTTTGGAATCACTATGACCTGGATGATTGAAAATCTTTACCAGCACCTAATGAAACGAAATATGAGTCTATCTAGTTAGCTGAAAGAGCAACAAACTCAATGTTTTTGCATGAGTTTGAGTTTTTATTATTTAAACATGAGAGATGTAGCTGAATCACATTTATTCTTATACAACATATGTTGTTTATGTAAGGAAATGTTCATTGGTTTGTGCCTAGGAGCATTGAATCTATGTTTTTCTAAAATGGAAAGTTTTTTTATAAGAAAAATTCAGGCATGAATTTGTGATTTGCAAATTTGTCATATTCATGTCTTAATGATTTATTAAACATAACATTGATAAGCATTAACTGTGTAGCTCAATTCAGTAGAAAAACAGAACCTTTTAGATTAAATACAAACTTTGTGGAAAAAAATAAAACCGTAGACTTTTTTTAAAAAAATTTTTTATTGGTGATTTCTTTAATGAATCTCTGATGTTATTCAATAAGTTGTTGACAAAGACTCTCTGTGACGACCTAACAACATTGCTGTCACAGGAGTCACGCAATGGGTGCCTTTCAGATATTTATACTACTTTATATATTGATTTGTTGGCAGTGAGCATTCCAGTGCCTACAAATTAATATATAGAGCATATAATATATATAAGCAGTTCTGGAGATGTGTTTGATTTTCTGCAGACTGGGACTTATAACATTGTAACACTCATGGGTTTATGCATCCAACTGTTTTTTTTTTTTTCTCCCTACCTTTTTGGTATGAAAGCTGCACACTTTTATACAGGAGGCCCCTGATCCTCTGAACTTTTCTGTAAACTGAATTAACTGCTTAGAAAGAAATCCACTGGAAAAGCTGGTAGTTTGACACATAACTCAATCTGAGTCCTATATCAAAAACCATGCCCTATCAAGAAAACCTGTGACATCAGAACATGAGAAAATTAACTTTTCCTTTTTTAAAGGAGCATGCTGTTTCTTTCTGTGATTGCTGTGTGGACCTGCTGAAAAATGCTGATGGAGACATCGTCACTGTAAGGAAAATCCTAATGAAGCACCTTTCCCATGTTTTTTTCTTGTATTGGAATGGAATGAGAATGCACACAGAACAGTACAAATAGAAGTTGTGTCCAAAGCTTTAAATGTAATTTGGATGTTGCCCAGCAACAATTTATACATACAGGCACAAAAATGTACTTGCATGTTCATTGATCACTGCCTTGAATGCCCCTGCTAATGTGTATACAAAAAAAAAAAAAAGCCAGCAATCCAAATGCACCATTATGTCAAAGTGTAAAGTCATAGGGAAGCGACTGTTTCAACCGTTGCATTTCCGAATTCCTACGAGTGGTGCCTGACTTTACATGAGTGAATAAAGTGAATGTGATTATCAAGGGGGCAGGATTGTTGTGGCGGAATGTTTGCAAGCAAGTTTAGTTGTGGGCTGTTTGTCAGAAGCATCTTGCTAACCAGTTAGCATCTTAGTGCCAGTAGGTTCCCAATGGGAAATTACATTGGGACCAAGTAGCACTTAACAACGACACTGTCAAGGAACGCTATGGACAGCGGAAGCATGCAAGAGGAGGAGAGTTTTGTGTTGAAGGTCGTGAATGAGTCTCCTCTGTCATAGATTTTTTATTTAGAGGAGGAAAGCGGGGAGGAAGTTGTTGTGGAAGAGGGCGCCAGAGCGGCAGAAGCTTGGTTTGGTGTAGGAGGCTTATAGCCGTACATGTTTGAGCCTTGCCTCGCAACGCTGCCAGTTCTGTTAGCTCTACGCCTGCTGAAGACACAGACCTCCATCCCCGTGAACACCGGGACGTAACTCAATGGTAAAGTAAATGATTCTTATTTCTTATTTCAACTGTTGCTTATATTAGATGTGACATATGAATCAAGGTGCTTTGACCGAAAAAATTTGATTGAGAGAACCTCAGCATAAAAAGTTGATTGGCCGAATTTAGGTGTACAAGCTGATGCATAACTAACTGGCCTCAATAAAATAACGGAAAAAAACCCCATATATTTTAACACAGGATTTTAAAAAAATATATAAATTTTCTAACTTTTGGGACAATATGGTCTGATGAAGAGTACATTTATGTACATGTTTAAGCCAGAATGATTTGAAATTTAAATATAATTTCCCTACGACTTTAATGACATTCATTTCACTAAACAGTTTATGTAAACCTCTGCTTGGAACTTTGTTTTGTAGTTTGTGGTAAATCCCAGAATATGCACTGGGGGAATAATCATTACATTTAGAATTAAAGTTGCAAAAAACTGTGACTTCCTCTTCTGCAGTTTCAATTACCTCTGTGAGTTCAGCTTGCCAATAACCCATCTGTCACTTATCTCTTGATAAGAATTTTATCCCTTATAGAGAGGAAATGAACTGAATTTATGTAGCATGTTTTATGTCATACTAACCACCCAAAGAGGTTTAACAGCAGATAATCACCAATCATTACCAGATTGGCAAGCAACTTGCTTTGCCTTGTCCAGGAGCACTTAAACATTTGATGGCATTTAAGACCATAATATTTATTTTATCTCTGTGCTCTACCTATATTAAAGTAGTTTTCCTGGAAGGGTTCTAATTTGGGTTTAGATGAGAGAGTGAAAGTTCTCTTAAATATTTTGTTCCCTGTGGTTCTGTTATGAACTTGGTGACCTGTTCCGGATGCAAACTTTGCTCTTTGACGAAACAATCACATGCAGTGTAGTGAGAATGAATTAAAGATGTCCTATTTTTTTTTCAAGCCAGTCAGCATCTCTCCCTACAGTTGCTCCTTTATCATTTTTACTATTTGATGCACCATGAGGGTTTATCACAGAAGCACAGCTGAGATGTTTTCCCCTGTCTTTTACATTAAGGAGACAGCTTTGATGAGAGGATAAAAAAAAAAAAAAAAGCATGTGTGTATACACAAGATAAGAAGTGTTTGAAATTATGGTGTCACTGGAACAGATCTGAACACGGTTCAAAGCTGTTCAAAGAAGAAGCATTATCCCGTAACCCTGTAAAACTACTGTAGGTGATTACATAAAAAACTATTGTCAAATGGATAACTTTGACAGGCTGCAGACACATCACCAAATGCGGTTACAACGCAGCATAACAAAAGCATGTCTTTGGTACTTCACCCCCAGTTTCTCATTAGAAACAGGTTTCCTTTGATATAGTGAATTAGTTTTTGTAAAAATATTTATGTTGAAGGTTCAGAGACTTATTCATAGTTTACTGTTTCTGTTATTTGATCTGTACAAATATATTCACTGTATTAAATATATGTGTGTTTAAAGTTTGATTTCTAGTTGTTGAGAATAAGAACCAAGCTAGGGCTTTAACTAATGCTGAAATATTTGTGGGCCTTCAGGAATTCATCTTACTACAGTACAAAGACAATGGACCTCACAAATGTATTAATTGCCCCATTTACAGTAGACTACCCTTTCCGAAACTGATCTGTGCCGAGTTTGGACCGAGCTTGGAGCAACTAACTGCGGCCAGCTTGGTTCTTACGACTATTTACACATCACGCTACCACGGTTCCTTGCCTCCTATCGACGGTCCACGATACTGAAGCTCTCAAGGTGGGAATTATGCAAACAAAAATGGCAGCGTCCATACCATTCAGGATCTTATATGCCTGGGTAGCGTCCTCCACCCAAATTTTAATGAGAGCCTTGGTCTCAGCCTCATCCCAGGTCGCACCATGCTATTTTGATGCCATTTATTGTTAACAGGCTGAGAAGAAGTTTGTGTTGTGAACAGGTGATGATATCTGTGAATTACAAAGCTGGGCACTCCTGAAAACCTGCAAAATGATTCAGCTGGTTGTAAATAGGAGAAGATGCGGTCTGCTCATGCGCTTTTTGTTATCCGAGAACTGAGTCACAACTGAACCGTGCTGAGCCCTACTGTTATGGGCGCCGCCATGTTGAACTAGTACTAGATTTAGCAAGATTTGGTTGTGTCTGGCACTGTCTATTAACACTAAACAGTTATCTTGGTTACGGTAGTGAATGGCCTTAAAGTCAAATCATTCTGGCTTAAACATGTATATAAATGTACTCTTTATCAGACGACATTGTCCCAAAAGTTAAAAAATTTCTATTTAAAAAAGAATCCTGTCTTAAAATCTGCTTTTTTTGTGTTTATTTTTTTGTTAACCTTTGCAGGCCAGTTAGTTATACGTCAGCTTGTACACCTAAATTTGGCCAATCATATATCGGTCATCGTTCAATCAAATTTTTTCAGTCATAGCATCTTAAATCATATGTTGCAGCTCCGGCACAAGACTCTCCTTGCATGTTTCCGCTGTCTATAGCGTTCCTTGTCCCAAACATGCTTGCAAACCATCCGGCATAACAATCCTGTCCCCTTGATAAATGACCAATAACATTCACTTTATTCACTCGTGTAAATTCGAGAATTCGGAAATGCAATGGTTGGAACAGCCGTTTCCCTACGACTTTAAACTTTGTTCAAGTTTCCTACTTAAAAAAAAATGACTTTCATGAATACCTTTGTGATTTAGCATAGTAAACGACCCAAAACCCATTCATATCATGATGGGTGAGGGGCTGTTAGTTGTACAATTTGGACTGGGCCATTCTTCCATAAAAGCATGCTTTAATCTAAGCCATTCCAGTAAAGCACAAACTATATGTTTATTTCTTACAGCTGCTCAAAGGTTAACCTCAGCCCCATCCAAAATATTAACAAAGAGGCCACCAGGTTCCTCTCATATTAGCCAGACAGCCTTTACCAAATATCTCCTTATCCTGCCCTCTTCTCTTCTAAATTCAGCATAATGTTCTTATCGTTTTGCATAAAGGGGGTTAGGGATTTACCACCATCTTGTGTGAAATGTTTGCCATATCCTCTACACGTATGCTATGTGGCAAAAGGGATTTCTTCTGATTTCCTTCCAACTGCAATTCCACAAAGCTGCAGAGCATGAGGTGTGAAAGACTCTTACCTGCTTTATGGTTCTCTGGAAGAATACTCCCTTACATGTTTGCTGGGTTCTTTGGTCTTTATGAATCTGTTCACCAATGCTACCTAGCAATCCCTGTATATCCTTTACATAACAGTTATATTTATACTGAAGTATAATTACACTTGGGGGTGCTCTAATTTGGATCTTAATAAACTGTTATTCAGGTTATCAGATTAAAATGCATCCTAGATTCAGATTTTTTCAAGCAAAAAGCTTTCTAAAACCAGCATTACTTTCTTTGCACTTGAGATTTAAGCAACTTTGTGTTGCAGTATCATAAAAAAATCTCATTCAAATACATTGATGTCTGTTGCTGAAATTGAAGAAAATTGAAGAATGAGTGATTTTCCAATCTTTTCTGCCATGTTTATTTTTTGCAGGGCAGTTTTTCCTCTTGCTCTTACACTTCTAATAATTTCTTTTCTAATGCCATCACCCTTCTTCTCTACTCTACAGGGAGCCACTGGTGTTCTGAGCAATGTCCTGCCTCAGTCATCTAAAGCTGTTCAACATGCTGTTCAAAGAAAAGTCATTCAAACCATGTGCTCCCTGCTAAAAGTGTGTAACTGTACAAAGATAAATGCAATCGAAAAGACATTGCAATTTGTTAAATTCTTATTTGTTTTATACATTACTTAGAATAGCTAAATAAGCTTTTTAAATCTTAAGATAGCAAACGCTACTTAGCACACTTTGTTTAAATGCATATTTTAGAAATCTGTAAAGGTACTAAAGGTGGTGTTCCTTTTAAAACAAGAACAGCTGCTTGTAAAAGATTCCCTTAGGAATTTCGAAAATTGACAAAGATGTTAAAAAGATACCAGCAAGCAGTAAGGGTTGAAAGTAGTGCCTCCTTGGAGCAATTCTCCTAAATTGCTTAAACTAAGCAGTATAGCCTCAGTGGCTTAAATTATTCATCTATAGTCACCCTGTAAAATCCCTGTGGACAAATTTAATCGTTGCAATTCCCACAAGCTGAGTGTGGCGCCACACACAAAATTATAAGAAATAAAAATGTTCTTGTCAGGAGCAGACAAACAGCTAAAAAGTTGGATAAATCCAACAACTATAGAAATATATATTTTGAGAGGTGAGTCTTATGTCTTCCAATGTGGAGACCTTATTTCTTTAGGGGAAAAGATAAATATTATGCTTTTATGTTCTTGTTCGGAATTCACTACAGTTTCTTAGTTTTTTTTTTTTTTTCTCAAAGCCTCAACTGCCATCATTCTTTACCTGCATAGCCACATTCAGCTCAGGTAGTAAGGGAATGTTTTAAGCCACGGAGGCTCAAGATATAAAGGATCCACCTATAATTGTGGGTTGCTGGTTCAAGTCCCTGCTCCATCCTTCTCAGTCATTACCACCTTAGCCTAAGCTCTTCAATTGCTTGCTGTCTGTTGGTGGCCAATGAGCCTGATGGTTCCATTGTCTGGCAGCCACAATTCTGTCAGTCTGCCACTGACAGACAGACTTATCAGTTGGAAATCCTACTCTGTGCTAACATGGCCTTAACAGACCAGACCAGTGACAGTGAATTTAAGAACCACATACTGTCTATCAATAGGGAATCTCTTCTTTTCACTTTTTGGTGTTAACTGGAAGGGTATTGATAGTTTTACCTCTGGTGCCATGATGGTGGAACTAACTGATTTTTTGTGCTAATATTAGACAAAAAACAAATTTAACAGGAAGGTTACTCTACTTTAAGTTAATTTAAGTGTAGTTAGAGGGAGAGGCGGTATGAAAAACAAGTCCTACTTCTTCATACCCCTTTTCAGACAATTTTCCATTAATCAGTCTCAATTCTCTGGCTCTATATACTGATAGGTTTATTTGGTGGAGGGTTTTGTTTCTATTTATGTTCAGGTGAATTTAGTTAGCATGAAAATTGGTGTTTGGTTTGTATGATGTTAACTAGTCTCTTTTATCTCTACTTTCCCAGGGAGAAAGTCAGACTGCAACCAAGTTTGCCATTAAGACATTGACAGTTTGCACTGCAGTCAGTGACATGGCAAGACAAGAGCTGGTGAAATCTGATAAAAGTGAGAAATTATTAAATTGTTAGCATCAAAAGGCTTCTTGGTTTGTGTTAAGTCTGCAGTATTAGATAATTTAAACCAACTGTTCATTATATTCACGAGGCAGAACTGACATAAACAAATTTTGATCTATTTGCAAGTTTAGTATAGAACTAAAATTAGATCTTTACAATAGTGTATAAGAATGAGTGATGGGCTGTTACCAGCAAATCAGTGAAACCTGTGTAGGACTACTGTGAAATTACCACATTGAACGTGATGTGCTGATAGGGATGCAGCTATAAAAACACCGGGTTTGCTTCAGGGAAAATTTATTTTTAAGAAGCTTCCCAATGGAAACCTCAACAAGACTAAAGCTGTTTGCACCTTGTTCAATGCGGAATTAGTTTACTAGAGGAGTTCTTCCAGTCTCAAGTACCATCTAAACGCAAAGCATCCCTTTGCCAATGCGGAGGATGCTGGCCGGGCCAAGATCTGATATAGCGCAGGGGAGGGTCGTGTTCGTCAAACTAATAATAAGCCCTTTTAATCAAGATTAATTCCAAGATTTCAGTGAAATTAATCTGGATAAAAAAAAAAAAAAGGAATCTATGTTCACCACTAATTAGAATACACCTAATGTTTTATCTCACTGATACAAAATCAGAACAAATGTTTCCTGTTTTTTGCTTTTTGAGATTACCACAATTTGTTATGTTGGCTAACAACCAGTATTATGAGACATAGACTTATACGCAATATTAAACAAATCCTTTGTTTCATATAGGTTAATTCACAACATCCCAAACACTGGTTTGCTCTATTCCAATCATGGTAAAAGAAAAAGAAATCAGCTTTGATATAAGGAAGTGTGGACCTTTACAGGTCTGCTTTCTCTTTGTATCCAATTTTTAGATGCCTGTCACAGGGCCTGGTCACAGGGTTATCTGATCAAACTATAATCCTTAAAAATGAACTGCACTTCAAAGTCCAGCCATTATACTGTTATGAAGAAACAGTTTCTGTGTCCCAGAAAGGAATGTTTGTTTTTATAAAAATGTGTATTAACCTGAACACAAAAACAAATTACTTTGGAAAGACCCTGGCTGAAGCTGATAAGACAGAGAAAACTGCAAACTGATCTTCCAAACAGAAGTTTAATCCAGCATACAGAAAATAAAGTTATATTAAGGAATGGCCTAAAATAGAAGCAAACTCTTGTGGCTATCTTATAGAAGAATGTTTTAAATATATAAACCAAGACAAAGATTTTAATATCCAATTCTAACAAAGACTCAAGAAATGTAAGTACATCTCTGAAACAAAGGAAATTCTGAAAAAAACAAACAGACTTCAAAAGCAGTAAAGGATAAGACTGATTTGATGTAAGATACTGGTTTAAAACATATCATATGATGTTTCTGCCTCTGTTTAATGGTTTAGAAATCATTCATTAAGTATATTCTCTGTTTGGTTTCATCTGTTTCTCTGTGTAGAATTGTCCATGTTACGTCAGTTTCTGAGTTCTAGCTGTGACGAGGTGATTTCAGGAAATGCAGCTTTGTGCCTGGCCCATTGCTTTGAACTGGAAGGTGTTGCCACCCACCTGCTGGGCACTGATATTGTACTTCTTCTACTAAGACTCGCAGCGGGGGATGCTAAGAAGACAGCTGTGCAACAAAATGCAGCTATTGCTCTCAGCAAACTATGTCAGTCTGAGCCCAGGTACACCCTCAATTCACAGACTGCAAGACATTATTTACATTCTGGAAACAAATTTTACTACTGTACGCAGTAAACTGAAATATTTGGCCAATGTTAACTATCACCAATGTTCAATTCTTCATCAATTCAATGTATAATGAGTAGGTACTGTAAGTTTGAATTGGAAATCTTTTGAGACTTTAAAGTTGGATTAAATAGAACAATCCTTTAAGGAAGAGGTCTGGTCATACTCAGAATTAAAACTTCTGTAAGTACTTTAAATATGAAATTATTACATACTTTACAATAAATGATAAGTGTTTTTAATGAAGAGTAATTTTCTAACTTTTGGGACAATATAGTCTGATAAAGAGTACATTTATGTTTAAGCCAGAATGACTTGCCATTTAAATATGACTTTCCTACTACTTTAAATGTGACATGTAGCCACTCAGAAAGTTTTTTCCAAGGAAAAAATACCAAAAATAACCTGTTTAACAAGTCCCTGCATGCGCTGTCTCTACTTCTTTACCTGATGCCTTATCCTTTTTTAATGTTTTTTCACTTTTAAAATTAGTCCACAAAGTATACAAATTGCTTGTAACTTACTAGGCAGGTGCATTTGCCCTGAACCCATAGTTGTGTCAAAAAAGCGGGACAGATGGGTCCAATATTCAAGGTTAGACAGCCAGTAGGAAAGGTTAAAATGTTTATTAATACAAAAAAAGACAGAACAGAAGTGCGCTGCTGTGGAACTGCGACAGCAGCGACCGCAGGTGTGGAGCGCAACCCATTACTGATTTTGGATTAACAGTTCAGTCCACTCAGGAACTGACAGATCCGGGTTCCAGGAATCCATCAGAGTGTGAAGGCAGGTTCAGAGTCCCGTGCGTCGAGCATCCAGCTCAGACAGAAATTCACAGACAGGCAGAATGCAGCAGGAGTCCGACAGAGATTCAGGCAAGCAGATCATACAGGGACAGACAGGGCCAGTGGGTGAGAGGAAACAGAATCAGGAAAACAGAATCACCTGGGAAATGCTTAAACGCTCTCACGACTAGGGATTAAACTAGCCTGAAGACATGGGCTCAAAAATAATCCCCTACTGGACAATGGGATATGAATCTTGGAAATACCGAAAACTGACAAAACCGACACTAACAGAAGGCAAACAGGGAACAAACAGAAACCAAAGGATGACTTGTCAAGATGGCTGGGCTGGACCGAGTATAAGGGAAACGGGCAGGTGGATGAGATCAGAGATGATTAGGAACTGGGCAGAACTAGGCAGGTGAGTGACATGAGCAATTAAGGCCAGTTAACAGGGCAGATCATGACAATTTGATCTTGATGTTTCTTATCTGACATCTGAATTTTCTTGATTGCAACCTGTTTTTCTGTGGTGTTGCTTTACACAATACACTATATGGCCTGTTATATGTACAGTTTTTTTATCTTCAAATGTGGGGCTTCTTAAGTTTTAAAAGTCCACCTGACACTTTTTTAAATCATGTTTATCAGCCATTATTTCTTCTCTCCCAAGTCCCAGCTTCCTACTAAATAAAGATAGACACGTTTTCCAACCTACAGTTTAGGAATACAAAAAAATTCCATGTGTGGGTGTGTGTGAATAAGTTAAATTTTGAATGTAATGTAAAAGGCCCTGGAGTTTCCTGACTTGAAAAGATACTATATAAGTACAGACCATTTACCATCAACCACCACTGACATAGATTTTTATTTCACTTTTCTTTTCATTACAAGTTATTAAGAGAGCTTTGCATTGTGCATTTATCTTTAAATATATGACTACCATTATGCGATATTTACATTGAAAATGTAGAATGGGGAAACTGTTGTCCACAAGTTATGGAAAATATTATTGGTGATTGATTTAATGTTGCTGATGTCTATTATACATGGTAAGGGTGCTGCTGCTAAAGCTAGTCTTGTGTTGGAGGATAATTTCTCCATGCAGCCAACTTCATTCTGGACTGTTCCTTCCTTTTTACATCCTGTTCAAGTCAGCTAGAGGAACATCTCAATGCTCAAGGCTGTTTTTCTGAGTTAGATGACTTATACCTTTGAGGTATAAGTCAAAGGTATATAGGTATATTGACTTATACCACTGTTACCTTATTTGAGGGGTGGATGCAGAGATCAGCTATAGACTTTGGAAGAGCCAAATCCTAAGCTAAGTTAGCCATAACCAAGTTTCAATCTCCTGTGGTTACTCTTCCTCTATGACATTTTATCTGTCAAATAACACAGAAATGTTTCATTCGCTTTGTTATTTATGAGCAAGCCAAGATCAGTAGAAAAGCCTGGCACCACCTGGTTGCTGTTAAACTCTATCCTATGGCACATCCATCATATGCAGAGCAAGAGTAGTTTGCATATATTAGTAATCCTTCAACCAAGTAGGATGGATGCTCAATAACCAGCATTAAATTCTTATTATAGCTAAGACTCATGCACAAATGTTGACATGTGCTATAACCAATCCCCTAGTGTGTACATCAATCAAGAAGAATCTAAATTTGTGCAATCAAAAGAAAAAGCATTGTATGGCCTCATGTCTTTTTCTGTTTTATGTCTCTCGGATATCGCATTGCTGTAGGCTGCCAGATGTTTGTGTTCTGTAAGTCATTTACTATACAGATGAGGTTATGAGTTGAAAGCACAATGAATGGCTAAATTTCCCTTCAGTTTTGTTGCTATTGTATCAACATGACATTTGATTAAAGTCACTACAATTCGTCTGACTGTGTGATGATAAGTTTGGAAATGCAGAAATGATAACATCATACTGTAGCTTTCTATATTTATAATAGTTTGGATCATTTTAATTATAAAAGCTGATTTATTTTAAGATGCTGTCTAAGACATACTCTTTTGCTATGTGCAAATGTGAGGCATTCAAAAGAATTAAGGAAGGAAACAGTGAACCTCCTTAATGCAGATCATTTCCTGTGCTGACCTGCATCTGACCTCCTAATGCTGACTGTTGTCTTATTTTAACAGAACCCCCCCCCCCCCAAACAAAACTGTCCCTACTGTTTACATTTAGACAAATGTTCTGAATCATAGGCTCAGGGACAGTGTGTCAGGCTTACTTAAAATGTGCAAGAGCATCATTTGATGAGCAGATAACGCCAAGCATGAGTGTGTTTCATTGAGCAATAAATGCTAAATGTGATGTAAGTGTCCTTTGCGAAGGACTTAAATGCACCTTCAGGCTGATGGGCTTGGATGTGACTGTTTTTAGGATGAGTTGATTGTTCTATACCGAAGGTCACACTATTGTTTAAACTGAATGCCAGCACTCTGTACATACTGTCAAAATATGTTCTGTCTAAAAAAAAAACGTTTTCATTTTTTCATTTTCAGACATATTCACAAACTTCGGGAGCTTCATGGCCTTGAGATCCTTCACTCCTGTGCAAAACTCCTATGATAAAGCAGTAACAGTTAAATTCTGTCCAAGTCCAGAGATTGGCATTGACATTTCATCATTTGTTTGCCTTAAATTGTTTCTTTTCATTATGGAAAATATTTACTTTCTCTTTTATCTCTAAACCTACCAACACTTGAATTCTAATGAACCAAATTTTGAAAGTATTTTAGCTAGAAAGATGTTCATGTTTAGCCATATTGGTCTTCAAAAGGATAAAAAATTTATTTGACTGAGAATATCCTCATGAGTCTAAGTATTCCCTCTATAACAAGGTCACCTCCTTAAGTGATATTCTTTACTGTTACTGTTTGCATATGCAGTGCATTTTTAGTATGCATTTCTTTGTTTGTTTTCTTCAAAATGGAATGGTCTATTAAAAGTTGTATTCATTCCTTTGCATGAAGTTTGATTTTTTTTCTTTTCTTTTTAAAACCGTTTTTAATGAATTAAGTCGTGGATCCTATAAAACAAAGAAAACAATCAAGACACATTTCCTACAGTAAAAATGTCCAAAAACTGATGTTGCAGTATCTTTATGAAAAAGGTCATCTAGCTTTTGCCTCTCAAAACAAAAACCTCTGCAGCTTTATTGATTAAATCGTAAAACGACTCCAAACATGTCTGAAAGCTAATTTTGGAATTGAGAAAGGAGGCTAATTTAAAGCTTCAGATAATATAATCTAATACAAAGCTGGAAATGCGGCCCTTCACTCCAATGGAACAAAATAAAAAATAAATAAACTAAGTCAAAAGTCAGTTCAGAGCGTGGACATCATCCAATTTCAATTGATTACATTTGTGGTAAGAAGAGGGGTGAAATATCTAATTAAAAGGACACCAGAAGCTAAAAGTTAAAACTTGGAAAACACATTTATCCATATTTTAGGGGGAGTCTGTTTATCACTTTTGAGCAAAAGCAAATTAAAGAAAATCCACAATAAATTAAAACCAGGGCAATAAATAAAAATACCTTTAAAAAAAAAAATCACTTAAGCTTTATGAAGCAGTGTTATGAATATTTCAACCTTGACAAAAATTGCTAAAAAGCATATGTTAAACTCCTTTTTTATAGATACATTTTTAACATTAGTAACAATACATAAGGTGTTGTGCATTCAAACAAAAATAAGGTATGACAAAAGATAATAGTACTGCTTGCAAATCTATTTAACATACACACCTAACCGCCCACTTCAGCGCAGCTTCACTGCAAGAACAAATATGCAGTATGTACATACTCACAAATACATTATCGTTCTTCAACAGTACATAAATAAGACATAGGTAATAACATATAAACACATGCAGTATAGACAAATATACATACATACATACATACATACATACATACATACATACATACATACATACATACATACATACATACATACATACATACATACATACATACATACATACATACATACATACATACACATGTATGCACACAAATACATTAATACATACATTTATACATAATTATATTTACAGTCATACACAAAGTAAAAACAATCAAGAAATAGGTAAAGGGAGATGGGGATTTATTATCTCTACTCACCCTCTATATCACTCATGAAATCAAGACACTGAATATTGAAACTAGGATAAGATTGTACAGCATATGGTGTGAAATAAAAGCATTTTTAAATGCACAAAGGCAAAATTTTTGTGCAAATAATGCATATTAGTTTTAATTCTCCATCAAAACTTGATGAAAATAAAATAAATGAATTAACCTTTATTGATCTCACAATGGAGAAATTAACGTAGAGCAGAGGGCTGCCACTGTGCAACGCATGGAGGGCAATCTGGGGTTAAGGTTCTTGCTCAGGGAGTGGGTTTCGAAGTGACAGCTTCAGGATTTTAAGCCTTATGCCCTAACCACTTCAGTACAACATTCAGAATTTTTTTGACCTGAGAATATTTGAAAAAAGGAAAGAGCTACTGAGAAATGTCATCTTTGTAATAATGAACTCTAGAGGAGAGCCACCCTCTGAGTGATGACACTACCAGGGTCCATGAGGATATATCTACAAACAGATGAAACCTTGTGCTCTGCAGTATAAAGGACCACTAACAAATACCGAAACACTCCATGGTGTTTCGGTATTTGTTAATAAAAAAACAACAACAAAATGCTGAGGTTCTGCTTACTGTTACGTGTTATTCGTGTACTTATTTCTGGGGAAAATAGTAAAGAATATGTTCTTTGTTTCAGAATAATTTTTTGTTAATATTGTTGAAAATTGAAGCATGTTAAAATTATGATGATTATTTCATTTTGCAGATCTAGTTTTATGTTTTCCCATTTGTTCTCTTTTCAAAAACAACAAGATACAGCTTATAAGAGAACTAACACACTAAAATTGCGCAAACATCTTAAACAGAAAAAAAATATTGCACAACATTTAATAACATAATGAATTTATTTATTGTTAAACCTTACATTATATACATGCTGTCTTTGTGATCCTTCATTTGATTGACATGTGACATGTTGCAGTAAAATGTCACATGTGACACACAGAAGAATTCATGCAGCAAACTGACTGATATAAGGACCAAAATTAATAGGGAAATCATTTGACATTTAGTATTTAACTAATCTGTCACACATCAACTGGTGTCTTTTCCAGTTTTCTAGATTAATTTCAGGCACAGCAGGGATTAAATTATACAATTTGCCTTTTAAGAAGCTTATATGTAAACCTATAAAGAATCTGAAATGTCAAATCTTAGCAAATATATATATTTTAAAATTGTTTGAACATATTGCTGTTTTCCCTCTTTTTCTCACAAACTTCATTAGTATGTGTCTGCATTATGAAATATTGACATTTAAAGCTGTAATACATGAGGGTTGAAGAGACTGACTGAAATAATGAGCTCAGTGCTAAAAGTGATAGATGACATTGTCACTGGAGGATTTGTACGTAAGATTGAATATGTTAAATAAACTCTGAAAAAATTTCCCCCATCAGCACAATAAACACTCATATTCAAAAATAGCTGAGAAGTCATTTTATGTGCTGTATCTATTAGCTTTTGATGAATATATATTAAAAAAAAATTATCAGGTCTTCAGTTTCTTTTTTCAGTTATTATGATTTTTTCATACACTACTTGTTTATAGATATACAAAAAACAGTCTTTGAATATAACATATGATTGACTTGTGTTGTGTTTTTAGTTGTTGCAGAGCGACAGGATTTCCGAGGTAAACTCCCAGAACAAACAGAAGGCAGTGCTGTCACAAAATATGGGGTTTTGGTAAAAACAAACACAATCAATCGTGGCATAAAAGCAGAAGCTACACAGCCGACACACCGAGGCACAGAGGCGGAGGCGACTGCAGAGTTTCCAAAAGCAAATGTGTTTGACACAGAACTAAAGCCAACTAATGAGTGGATGCGAACCACAACATCATTATTTACTACTTTACAAAGCATGGAACATCTTCTCTTCGGCAAGGAGCAGAGCTCTTGAAAATCATCCACAGCTTACCCATCAGAATCTAAACTCCCACTGAAGTCTAATTATGGAAAGATAGTTTTGTCTTCCACACAAACTGTGTTGGCTTTGAAGGATACCTTTGAGCCACAGGTCCATTTGTCAGCTAAGGCATTCAAAGCCCCTCCTTGGTTTCATGCTCCTCGTTCAATCAGTAACCACAAAAATGCCAGCTCTGTTATTCCCACATTTGCTGATGCAGGGCTGTTACTTCCGATCCTATCTGCATCTCCTCCTCCTGTAATTGATAACCTGTTGGAGCCGTTCGATGTCAGCGATGATAAACAACCGCAGGGCAAGAGCACTACAAACCTGGGAGGAAATCTGTCTGGTGCAAAGCAATCCATCCGCCAAAGTGATCCAACAGAAGACTGGGAAAGACACACTGTGACAGGCTTGAGTTTAACCAGTCTGAGAGATGGAAAAGAAATGTCCAGTGAGAAATTTGCATCTCATCTTGCTGCACCGCCTCATGTCTCTTTAGGCTCTTTTACTCCTGAATTTCCATCATACAGTTCACATTCACTGTCAGCTGGGGAAAGCAATATGATCAAAGATGGGAACAATGCAACAATTTACAATCACATGTTTCCTGATGTTCCCTGTAATAAGACTGACAGTCCAACTGTTTGTCTCTCAGATTGCATGTGGGATGTCATGCATGACACCTAATCACACAGCAATGCAAAAAAAGGCACACCTCTCCTAGTGAATCTTTTATCACAGCAAGTCCTAATTTATTAACTTTAATATAAATTAACTTTATATTAGTGATAAACCAGTGATAAAACAGGCAGCAAAATGTTATTTATATAAACATTTCCATTAGGGAGCCTCAGTTAAACCCAATACACTTCAATGAGAGCAAGAAAAAGGCTTCTCACAGCCTGTTAACAGACTTGAAAAATCAGGACATCATCAGTGGGCCAGTGAGCAATATGCCTTTTATTGCTCCCCACAGGAGTTTTAACAGTCTTCTCCTAAAAGGTCGCGAACACAGCGCTGCCTGCTTCACATCCAATTGCAAGAATGAACTTGATTGAAGCTCTTGGTGCAATAACACCCCTGAACCCTAACAGGCCGACTGCTTCCACAGTCAAACATCTGAAGCCTTGCTTACTGACAGGAAGAGCCAAAGCTTTCATCTCCGTATCTGGCAGCCAAACAAGATCTAAAGCTACCCCTCAGACCAAAGAACCATTATTTACTGTGTTACCAAAGAGTTCAACAATTAGGCTTCCGTCTGTCACCCATGGACACTTAATAGATGAGCAGGATTCTCAGACTTTTACCTTCTTTCTGCTCTTTCAAAAGATATTCGGATAAGGGATTTTGAATGCAATATGACGGTGAATGTTATTAAATTTAATTTCATTTATGTATCTTACAGTCAAATAATCTTCACAGCCTGAGGCTTGAGGATAAAAAGAAGAAATATTAAGTGTATTTGCTGAAAACAAGGATCAAATTCTTCAGACCAAGAAAAACAACAGCAGAGAAATAACAAAACCAGATAAGATACCAGTATGTCACGATGGAAAAAAGAGAAATATTTAAGTCAGTGGCAGACAAAAACCAAAACACATACAAAGAGATTGAGGAAAACAATATGATCATGACCAAGACAAGCAGACAGGAGCATGTAACTTTAAGATGCAACAAAGATTTAAGACATGGTGAAGTCAAGGACAAGAGAGAAGCCATCAGAGATGGTTTGACTATAATAAAGACTTTAATCCTGAGCACTGCTGAAAAGCAGGCAATTTTTGGAAAAGAAAGGAAGAGAGTGTGGATGTGGGGACAACATAGAATTTACCAAGGATATTTGCAGGGAGGACATGACAAATGTTCCTCTTGAACCTTGAACAAATTGGAAGGAACG